TCTAAGAAGTAGTATAGGTAGGTGGAGAGAGAGATTGATTACTGAATCCTGGTTCATCGAGTGGATCTACACTCAAAACATTTGCAACAGAATCGACTCAATGCAAATACCAGAAATATGCATGGAAGATATTATTACCACCAGTCAGTCAAATCAGAGGAGGATAATAAATAATCTTAAAATTCTATTTCAGTTCAATTCAAGCACATCATAACATTCTAACAAGTTACGTATTTTGACTATAAAAACACTCGTTTTATTTCCCATCTGATTGTATTTGATTGATAACACTCATGTTATTATTTCTGAATGTACATTATCTTATATTGATTTTTATTCAAATGTCTAATCACCGATTTTTACTCATGTATATAAATGAAGCAAGAATGTTGTGTGAATGACTTGATATGATCATCAGTGGCAATAGTTTGTTCTCGACACGTAATCATCAGTTAATATTACTGTGATTTATCGAAATAACATCTTATCTATAATGAAGTTATACTCTACCACCACAGTGATCAAGTTTTATACTTATGCTAGATCATTCTAGCCTTGTTAAGAATCCCTGGTAAGGCTTCTGATATTCTTTGCTATGTGGTAATACTGTCAAGGCTTTAAATTCTTTTTCTCAACCAAATCTGATAGGCAGTTGTTCACTAGCCATATTTTCCTGATTTCTTTGATTTCACTATTTAAATCTTCTAACTTATTTGAGTTAGGCTCGCAGTCGGATTATTTAGACATTTAAATAAACCTAATTTCACCCATTCTTTGGTAGGATGAATTAAAGCCTGAGGGTGTGCAGAACAATATATTGTTTACACCATGAGTGCTAGTGGGATGTATGCAATATACATACAGACTGATAGGAAGTGGCTAGCAAATGAAATCTACATTTAAAGTCAATGGCTGTAGCAGCGGTAGAATTGTTGATTCCTCATATCTGGATCTAGCTTACATTGTGGTCATGAAATAATTTCATCGGACAATTTTTCATTCGATTGTTTAACCTTGGACCATTCGCCAATCAACAAGAAAAGTTTATTTATTGCCCGCTGACCTAGACGATTTTAAATGTGGATGAAAATGCATAAATATGGTGTGTTTTTCCTTAATATAAAAGTCCGTTACACCAAGTCTCTTATCTTATCTCGTTACATCTGTTGTAGATGCCTTCGAACAATGAAGATATTATAATCTGCTCCTCTCAAAGAAGGAGACGTATAGAGCTTCTCACAAGACTTCGATGCTGTTGCTGATTTGATTAGCGTCCGGTAGTCGGTGATGAATAGCATATTGCTGAGGATGCTGCTGAGAGGTTAGACGAAGGTAGAATACAACGGTGTGGAGCGGCAGGTGGTATCTAATGCACCATCTTGTTTAAATTTTACTTTACACTCTAGTATGGCCAATTCATCTGGTTCATTTTTTAACTCAGAAGTGAAGTGCATTGCGTTTACTACTACTACTACAACTCAGTTTATTATATGTGAAGGACTTGTGTAGGAGTCTCTGTTGAGACTGACAGTGAAAATTCATTCCTTTTATTTTATAAGGATGGTGTGGCTATAGGATCTAGCCGATGCTAAAATGGCGAAATTGGTGATATCTTCATGCGTGTCATCACCAGGAGTTGAAATGGTGCTTTCTAGATAAGTGAGGAAAGTGACACCGTTCTTATTTACCCCGCTTATAGTGGCTAGTGCTTTTTGTTGTTTTTGATTGATTATTCTCAACACGTATGTCTTCTCTCCGTTTTCAATTGAAATGTTGTATTCGCTGCCTGACAATTCAGCCGTCTTGTTTCTTTTCGCCTGTAAGTCCTTGAATTTATGTGGAACTAGACCTACATTGTCTGCAAAGTCCAGGTGAGGGTTCGCGCATCTTGACTACACCTTTATTTGGCATTAAAACTTAAGTTCCTAGAGCGACGTCTAATATAACAGGCTCCAAAGGTGCAGTTGAAATGATAAATGTACAATATCAAGTGACTAGGTTAGGTACACTGTCTTTCATTTTCGGAATCAGAGCCGGTCGTGTAGAAAATGTGACCTGTGCCGTACGTGCATTAAACGTTCTTTGAATCGAAATTCTCAACTTGTCCATTATTATTTCGCTTGGTATGTCACATTCAGACTATAGTTTGTTACTTATAGAATTTTGACTATTGTTTCAGACAATGAAAACTTTCTGGTGGAGGAGCTTCTGTCAAGAAATAAGAAAATGTGAATATAGAAAACCTACAAGAACTGGTCAGTATACTCACTTTTTCAGTTTCTTGCCCTTGAAAAACAAACGCAATCTGATAAAGTGCTTGGTTCACAGAGCAACAGCAATCTGCTGGGATGAATGTCTTGATGAGGAACTTAATAATATTGAACGGTTGCTGAGTGAAAACAATTATCCAGGAAAGTTTTTGATAAGAATATGAATGTAAAATCAAAGCAGCCCAAGGTACGAACAGTTCCTAAAACAGCCTTATTCTTACAAATTCATTGCCTCTTGGACAACATCAGCGAGATACTAACACAACGCCTGAGAAATGCGGTAAAAAGAGCATTTCCTGCTGCTGAATTACGCTGTGTCTTAAAAACCACCCCCAATTTTCGCGTTCGGGAGTAAAAGATAAACTGCCTAATTTTGCCTCTTCCATGTGTATCTACAAATTTAACTGCTCCTGTGGAGCTATTCGGTTACATAGGCCATATAATTAGGCGTGTTTCTCATCGAATTTCCGGACATCATCCTGCATGGTTGGTTAAGTAAAAGACAAACCAAATCCATCCGTAGCGTTATTCTATCTCATCTTTTGGATACAGAACACAAGATTGATGACGTTAACGAGGCAGATTTCAAAGTCATCTACTGAATACCAACAAATCTTAATCTCACCTTAGGAGTTCGTCTACTACATATTGCTGACGCTGGCGGTTGGGATCCACACTAAGGAACCTAACTTATGTATCCAGAAGAAGCTAGTTCAGACATTGTCCTTACTTTGGTCATCTAGATTCGAATGACGCTCAATTTGTTTTCGAATTTTCCTAGTTTTAGCTGATATTCTATTTACTATTACATTTTTATGCTTATTAAAATTTATGCATCTCTAGTGGGCTGTAATTCCATTGTGATCTTACTTAAGAAATCGATAGTATTTAAAAACACTAATATTGTTACTGGCGAGATCATTTTGTAGTATTCTATGTATATAAACATATATACGTATAATTGTAGAGCCAGAAGGGGAATGATGTATATCCTGCAATAAATTTTATCATCGCGGTCCTTATGACTAGAAAAGAGCATGATGGTACAAAAAAGCTAGTGTATATACAAAGTCTACATTAATTCATCTGTATACCCATATTTTGAGTTACGTACCTTTAATATGTAAATGCAATTCGATAGAAAGTTTGATTCACATCGGAAGAGGAATCTGGTTTAATGAATGCACCAACAAAGAAATCAATAATAATCAATCAATCAATTCTAATGGGAAGTCCTGACTAGTAGGGTGCAGCAGGTCGGGTGTGAGGACAAATACTAGCCCGCGGTGACATTGGCTAGTGGTCCCGCTATGTCGTGAATTGGCAGAAGTTAGAATTCATGGGCCACCGGATAGGGACCCAGTGGCTTAATGGTCAACGAGCTAGCTCGCCTTGTAACCAGAAGGCCCTGGGTTTCAACCCTGGAATTGGTTGCGTTCTGCTTAAGAGCCCCAAACTAGGCTGACGAAGCAGCTGTCCAGTACTTTCAGCTGGTTTACCAATGGTTCTCTAACCGATGTCAGTTCATGATGAAATCCTGTAACCAATCAGTCAAATCCCTACAAACGAATATTTGAATGATGAGTGGAAATGTTTATCCATAGAATATAAATAAAAAGCTAAGGCAAGCAAATGTAGCAGCTGTCCCGAAGAAGCTCTTGTTCTTAAAACTTCAGTTTCTTGTTGATAACATCAGGGAAATAATAACACAACCCCTAGAGAATATGGTAAGCACAACATTCAATGCCACTGTTTATCCACAACCGCTTATCCAGTTTTAGATCTGTAAATTAAGGATAAACTGCCTAATTTCGCCTATTCTGCGTGTGCCGTCTAGTTTGGCAGATCCTCTGCAGCCAGTTACATTGGCAGTACAATTAGGCGTTTTTACAGTCAGATTTCTGAACATCATTCTGCATGGTTAAACAAGAGACAAACAAAAGAAGGTTTATTCACAGCTCTTTTTTAGCGCAACTTGTAGATATTGAACACAAAATCAATGTTAACAAGGCATTTAAAATGGTCTGTTATCGCATTCCGACTGACTTATGAGCTCATTATTTACACATACCTGAAGTTGTTGGAATCAACCTTAAGAAGCTCAATTTATGTATTCAGAAGTAGGCCGTTCACATGCTTAACCTACCTTTTCTAACGATCATTGTTTTAACTACCCCTTATTGATGAGGTAATTAGCGAAAAGAATATATTTAAATTCCTCTCCTGCCTCTATCTTTCTCTCACTGCAGAATCTCCTAACCTTCTCTCTTAGTCATTACAATTAATGTCAGTATCCTTTTGTCACTTTAAATTGCTCATTAATGGGAAAACAAACCCAAAAAAGTGAAAAAAATCCCCTTGCTTGTTTTGTATTACAGAGACTGTCAAAAAATAAATGAAATGAAATGAATGACCGGATACAGCATTTTCTTGTAATAATAAAAATAACTTCCATAAATTGACCAATGAAATTCCACTAAAAATTATTGATTATTTAAGGTCATTGCAAAATAGCTAACCAATCATAATGACGAAGCAGAGGAATGTAGTTTATCCCTCTCCCAAATACTGAAGATACCTATTTTGTATTAAACGAAGTTTTGGCCAAAAATCCAGGCAGGCAACCAGCTAGCCAGCTAGTCAAATCACGTGTTATTTATACCAATTTCATTTGGTGAACTTATATATACTGGGAATAAAAATTAATATTATTATTATTAAATGGGAAAGATGAATTCCATTCATGGTTGGTGGATATATCTTTTATTGATCTTATATGCAAGTTGTGCTGAATCTTCAAGGCCTTTAACACCATATCAAAGAAGTAAGTAAATTGCATTGAAGATATATATATATTAATAATATATATGGATTAATCATTATGTATATATTCATTTTCCCATCCCTCTGAAATCCATCTCGACGACCTGCTTGCTGGGTGTGGCATCACTCAGCAGTCTCCTCAACGTGTGACTAATCCGTCTCCATTTCCTTCAGAATATTTATTCAGCAATAAGTTCTAGGTTAGTTCGTTAACTGTCTGACTTTCTCGCTGCTAATCCTCTCTGGCCGGAAACAAGAGGCCACTGCAGACTTTCACCGACAAGCACTTTTGCCATCTGCATGCTGATGATCGGATGGCCTACCGGAAAGGATAAACACCATGGAACTCTAGTAAATGACCAACCAGAACCCTATCGACCATCAAATGTGCTGAAGAAAATATAGAGATGAATTGGACATAGGCTGAGGAGACCCGTTTGAGTGGAGTCACACATCAAGCAAGCCATCACTCGGATGGAATCCAAATAGTAGACGAAAACTTGGGAGCAGGTCTGCAGGTGACATGGAGGAAATCATGTCAGGAAGAGATTAAAGCTTACAGGAAATCGCACAGCCAGATAAAGACAACTGAAGAGAACACGACAAAATGGAGATTTGTATTTGAAGCCTGCTTTATCCGATGTATTGAAGATCAAGACGCTTAGTTCTTTCATAGATTTACATTGTATTTTTGGTGTGAGTGTGCTTAGTTTCTTAGAAGTTCGATGTTATTCTAAGTTATACTAGACAATAAGACAGTAAGATTTAAGTAAGTAATATTTGCTAATTACATCATACTCGCAATTTGAAGTTTACATACAATTTGAGAAGGTGAAACCTCATCACAGTTTCCTCTGTTGGAAACGGAAACTATTTAGATCTGCCTGACATTATAAATGACGATCAATAGCATGCAACTACACAGTACTGATTTCTCGAAATGAGTAGTAGTATTTACTAGCTGTATCGAAATATCAGATGGCTGTTTCACAAGGTTGGTGTCAAGCTTATTAGCCCCTGCCTATATGAGTAGAACATCTAATTTTGAAATAATCGAGAAGTGGATGTTCTCTGAGGATCTGGTTGATGGTTTAATCACGAAGCTTTCACTTCCCTCCTTCTAGGCGACATTTTTAGAGCAGGTTTAAATAGGAAATGAACTTATCTGAATTCTCCGAGATTGGTGATATAATTTTATCTCCTGGTAACTATTGTCCTCATTCGATATTGTAAAGACTGAAAGATCCAACAGAAAAGGAAAAGAAAATTAATACCATATACAAAATTAGAGTTTGACGTGGTTGTGTTCTCTGAACTGACTGGATAGTTTATTTGCAAAGGTTTCATTGCCCTGCTTACTAGGCAACATCTTCAGCGCGCATACTTCAATTTGAATTGAAGTGAGCTTTTAGATTTCTCCAAGAGTTTATTAGTCATCTCTCCTTCAAATTGAAGTATGCGCGCTGAAGATGTTGCCTAGTAAGCAGGGCAATGAAAGCTTCGCGAATAAACCATCCAGACAGCTTAGAGAACACAACTACATCAAAATCATCCACCTGAGCTACAAATGTTCTCCATCATAACAAAATAAATTGCATAAATTACGATCAACGCTACACCGGTTACAGTGAGCATTCCTTACGAATCTGAATCCAACAACATAAATTAGCTGTGAAAAGGCATGTGCGTCGTTGACACAGAGGTTAGGATTCTCGCCGACCATGCGCATGGTCTGGGATTCGATCCCCGGCCGGCACACACCTGAAATCAATGGTTGGCCTGCTAAATTTGGGCTATCGATATCACATGCTGAAAATTCGATACTTGTACCAAAATACGGTGTGGAATCAAGCTATAGTAAAAAAAAACAATAAAATAAATATATATTCTTTCATATCGTAGCATGTCGATAATTACGGACACCAATTTGATTGGGATAATGTAGAAATTTTGAGTAGAGGTGTGGTGAGAGCTGGCTGCTAGCCAAAGTTGGTAGACAGTAATTGACGTCAATGTTTATGTCCCCAATATTGGTGGTGAGAAAATGAGAACAAAGGCTTTGCGTAGGCGGATACAGTTAGCATATGGATGATCTGACACAGCCACAAAGAAATGAAATGTTAACTTTCTGTGAGAAACAACCAATCAAAAGACTGTATTTTCTACTAACAATAATCTACAATAATGTACATTAAAATCTATAAATATGTGTTGATTTTCCTTAATAAACGATCTGTTGCCTGGCCCTTGTCTTCTGTTATTACAGAGGAAACACCAGAATTGATGCCAGGCAATTTCTAGAAGCCTGGAACTCAAATGAATCAGCTAACGATTAACAAAAACCCGTTATTATAGACCAAACTTACCAGGTAACATAAAGTAAATCACCACATGACAAGAAAGTTCACATTCCAAGTCAATAAAAGCATGATGAATAGAGATGTAAATTAACAACCAGTCACAACAATGGTTGTCAGGGGATACAATTAAATCATCAGTCATCGAGAATTGTAAAAAGTCCACTTCACACTGAAACCTGCGCTGAAGATGTTGTCTAGAAGGGGTTCAATGAAAGCTTCGTGCTTTAAATCAGCCAGATTCTCAGAGAACAAAATTGATACAGAACATTTGACTAACCCTCAACTATTTCCAGTATTACCTCAACTATCACCGTTTGTTTGTTAAATTCAGCACAAGAAATAACTGAAAAGTAGTCATTTATATTGATTTCGTGCCTTGCAATGATTGACTCTGGATTTCTGTTCAAATTGAACATATATATCATTTTCCTGTGTAACTTAATAACCACCATTTAAGAACATGTTTCTTTCGACAACATTGGAACATTCGATTTGTTCTCTGTTTCCTAGATATTTTGTTGACTAGTTGGGACGATAAAATAATTAAGCGATCAATATTTAGCACGCAGATATGCAGTGGACAGTATCTTCATTTCAACAGTTTTGTTCTTGTCCAGTACAAACCTTCCCTAATGAAATGCTGCTTTGTGACTTGATATTTAACTGTGATTACAAAAATAAACGGAAGAATGCGGTTTATTAAGTGCCTCGAATTATTAATAAAGTGCTTGACTCGATAGTTTCGTCCTTAACTGTAGCGCTTCATCAGTACATACCCATGATCCCACCCACTAGAAGTCGAACCCAAGATGCTTAGATTAACAAGCGAGCCCATTGAACATTCAGCCACTGGGATATAATCAAATGGCCAGCCCATCAATTCTAACTGCCTCCCCGCTGGTCATGTCTTCCCCCACGAGAACTTCGGACACGTTGAGCACATTGACATTTCCGCTTCCAGTACAGATGCTTCGATAATATCCGAAGATTAATATGATGTTACTGTAGTAGGGGTGGTGGCTAGCAGTGGAATTAAGAACACACGCACATTTCGTCCTATTTGGAACTCGTCAACTGGGCGGGTGTATTTACAGCAGTCCCAGTAATTGATGGATAGCGTTTCTACTGAGACTCAAATGTAGCTAGCCTCACATCGTTTCAAATGCTTAAACGTTTGAATTACTACAGATTTTGAAGGGACAAACACCGGCATCATATAGTCGTAGTACGAGCAATGATGACGCTAAAGCTTAGGATGCAGAGTTATCAAAACACCAAAATTCTTTTCTTGAGCTAAATCACATGTCTTTCCCATTGTTCAGAAATTTTTAGTGTGAAAGATACTATAATTTTTGTTGTTAGATCATTGAGAACCAAGGAGTGCTGGACAGCTGCCTCATCTTTGTTTGGGACTTTTCTGCAGTACTCAAACACCACCCTTACCCCCACTGGAGATCGAATTGAGAAACTAATGCGAGAGCCCATTGTACATTCGGCCAATCAGATGGCGCCACCAAAAAATGTCATCTGCGATAACCTGTCCCTACACTCGACCTAGTGGTGACATTGTCTTAGACTGAACCTCTAGGCACCTACGTCTTGTAGTCAGTCACCAGTTAGCATCAGAGTAATCTTCAAGTAGGAATTTGATTGGTTCCAAGTTTTGTCGTAGACTGTTACCAACAGAAGATTGCTGAATACGATCCGCGGTTGGCGGCGGAATAGGGGTGGTGTAGGTGATAACTACTGAATGACTCCAAACTAGGACGAAACAGCTGTCTGGTAATGTTCCTAGTCAGACTTTACAGAAAACTGCCTACTTTTATAATACTACTTGTAACGGTTGAATCCGATCTGTTATGCAGAAAACCGACCTTTGCGTTCCACTGTTTAACCAATCAAAAACTCCTCGAGTTATTCACGGTGACAAGAGGCTCCGACAACAGCGAAATGGCAGCTATTTACAATAAATCTACGGTACTCTTGAACAATCACTAAAACTCGAAATTACCTCAACAATGCCGTTAAGCGGCTATACAGATCCGATAGTTTCTTGACTACAAAAAAAGTACTATACGACAAAATCAGTTAACCAAAAATCAACCGTTTGAAGTACCTGAGAATCAAGTCAAAATATACCAGTAAGGTGAGATCAAGGCTCTGTCTGCAAGAATAGCACACTAAACAATTCCCGAGGACAGTTCAAGGTCATAATGACCTTCATTCACTTAAACAAAATAACACATTATCAATATCATCATCATCACACAACCTCAAAGAGAGGCACTGATTGTAGAAATTAACCAGGAACAATGTCAAGTAATAAGGATTCAGTCCGCATATAATATGCAAATGTCAGAAAAATAATCTACAGTCTAGAAGAAAAATGGATAATAACCACAAAGTTATTTGGAATGTCTAAATAAGTAAGTGCAAACTTCACTCGACCTAAGTCTGGTCATGGAATGATATCAGTAACGAAAGAACCGCTGATAACCACTAGGCACTATTAGACCCAGCTGTTTCATTCAAGTTTGAGACTTTTCGGTAGGATATACCCAGAACCCCATCAGAGGTTGGACCCATGACCTTGGGGTTGCAGCGAGGACAAGCTAGTTAGCCATTCACTTACTTGCGCCGG